TAGAGGCCCAATGTCCATCTACTGCCTTAATACTTGACATAAGCACATAGATCTATTTCATTATTGTTATATATATCTAATACATTTTCAAGGTTCGTTCATTTTGCATTATTGTGAGGACTTAAGTTTTCTTTATAGTGAAATAATATGCCATTATGAATGTACATTTTCTTTATCCATTCATGTGTTGGACATTAGGACATTTGTCTACTCTGAATAATGCTACATTAATGTACATGTCTGTTTGAGTCACTGCTTTCAATCTCTGGGAACAGAGTTGCTTGGTCATGTGGTTAAAAAAACACCCCTCAAACTCGCTGCCATCAAGATGATTCTGACCCGCAGTGACCCTTACAGGACAGGGTTGAACAACCTCTTTGAGTCTGCCAAAGACTGGAGAACCTATTAGATCGTTTTACCTCTTATTTTTCTACTTCCTACTTGACTGACAACGGATAATTCAGTATTTCCATTCTGCAGGCTGGGCCTGTCATGGAGGATCAGAACATTCTCGTTCACACACAGCTAATGAATCAGTGCCTTCACAGAGCCCAGAGAAGTTAAGACATTGTAAGTTATTTGTTCCTATTCTTTTCACCATATTAAAAACCAGTTTGATTCAGATACATTTTTAAAAGGATTGCTTTATAATCTTTACCTCACATTATTCAGAAAAATGTCTTAATAATGGGTTATTATTAAAATGAAAACTATGCCTGGTTATCCTTTACTATGGGAAGCACTGAATAGAAATCACGAGCTTGTTATACTAAGTTCTATATTTTACATTTCATGTTGAGGTTTGTTAATAATGGATACTGTTAGGAATAAACCACATGCTGTCAAGTAGACTCTGACTCTGGGGCCTCCTGTGATTCTATCAGTAGGGATAGATTATATGTATTTTTGTCTGTGGTTTAAAAAGTTACACACACCAACCTATTTGCCAGTTCAAAATCTCTGTGTGTAGAATTCACTGGCATATCATGTTGTGTACCTATCACCAAATTTTCCACTACAATGAATAGACACTCAATGTCTCCAACACAGTGACTTTGAATTGCTTCTACATTCCTCTCCCTGGTAGCCATTAAAAAGGTTTAGTCTTTCTACATTTTTCCATTCTAGGTATTTCATGTAAGAGGATAATTCTAACAAAATGAGAGGGCTTCAAAAAGTTCACAGAATTCCATTTATCATGTACTTTTTGAAGCCTGCCTTTTTTGTCTTTTTATGACTGACAGACTTCACTTAATACGTTTTCAAGGTTCATGAATGTTGCAGCATTGGGGGACTTAAGTTTTCTTTATAGCTAAATAATATTCCATTGTATGAGTGTACATTTTCTTTATCCATTCATCTGTTGAACATTAGGGCATTTGTCTACTCTGAATAGTGCTACATTGATGTACATGCCTGAGTCTCTGCTTTCAGTCTCTGTGAACAGAATTCCTTGGTCACGTGGTTTAAAAAGAAACCCTCAAACTCGCTGCTACCAAGTTGATTCTGACCCACAGTGACCCTTATAGGATAGGGTTGAACGACCTCTGTGAGTTTCTGAGACTAACTCAAGTAAAGGGTAGAAATTTTCGTCTCCTCTTTCTCCAGACCAGCAGCTGGTGGTTTCAAACTGCCCATATTGCGGTTAGTAACCACTACACCACAGGTAGTTCTGTTTAACTTGTTGAGGGACAGCTAAGTAGTTATACTCAGCAACATACATCCCAGCTGTCACACACGTGATCAAATTCCGCCACTTTCTCACCAGATTATTTTTGTTTTTTAATCTTAGTCAGCCTACCAGTTATTTGCAACCTTGTCTGGTTCAGTGTTGAACTACTAACCTTCAAAGTCAGAGGTTCAAACCTACTACCTCCTGTAAGGTTTTATAGAAACCTTATATACGGTTGCTTGGCGCTGGAATGGACTCTGTAGCAGTGGCTGGATTGGGTTAATAGCTTGTTGGGTAAGGGTTGGACTGCTGACCACCGCCCCACACGGGGAGGCAAGGCTGTTTGCTCCCTTCGAGATTTATAGTGTTGGAACTCTATGTAAGTCAAGATCAAATCCATGACAGTGGGTTTTGCTTCGTTTTTAATAGCTAACGATGTTGGGCATCTTTTCATGTACATATATTCCTTTTATCTTCTTTGTTGAAATTTGTTCCTTTGTCCATTTTTATTGAGTTGCTTTTTTGTTAAAATGTAGACTTTTACAAGTTATAAATATTAAACCTTTATCTGATACATGGTTCTGCCTAATTGTTTCCCAATCTGCAGGCTGTACCTTTCATATTATTGTTAGTCTCTTGTCGAGCAAGTTTTTCATTTTGATGTTTAATTAGTCTATTATAGATTGTACTTTAGTTATATCTAATAATTCAATTTTAAAAGGAATATCCCTATGCTTTCTTCTAAGAATTTTATGCTTCTACTAATTATACTCAAGTTCTCGACCCATTTTGAGTTTTCCAATACAGTGTAACATATGAGTCCAGTTTAATTCTTTTACATGTGAATGTCCAGTTGTCCCAGCACTATTCCTACCAAGACTATTCTTTCCTCAATGCATGAACCTGGTGCCTTTGTCAAAAATCAACTGCCAAATGGACTCAATTCTAGTGTATTTGTATGTGTCTATTATTTTAACCAGTATCCGTTTTGAATACTGTGCTTTATACCATGTTTTGAAGTCAAGAAGTGTGAGTACTTTTGCTTCACTCTTTCTCAAGATTGCTTTGACTATTTGGGGCTCCTTGTAATTCCGTATGAAATTAAGGACTGTATTTTCCATTTCTGTAAAGCATGCTGTTCAAAATTAGATTGGGATTGCATTGAAATCTCATGGGAATTACATCTATAGATCACTTGGCAGTATTCATACCTTAACAAAATGAAATCTTCTGTTCCGTGAACACAGAATGTCTTTCCGTTTAGGGTTTTTTTTTTCCCCCAGTAATATTTACTTTGTGTTGGTTTATCTTATGTTTTGCAATTTTACCAAAATCCTCTATTAGCTTTCTTCTAGAGTCTTTGGGACTTTTTATAAGATCTTGTCATTTGGGAATAGGGATAGCTTTACTTTTTCTTTCTTGTGTTCGAGTTTTACACGAAAGAATTTTTGCCTTTTCGGAGTCAATTGGAATGATGATGTGTTCATTTCCTTCATTTTATCAAATGTTGAATCACTCTTCCATTCCTGGAATGATTCCCACTTGGTGGTCATGGTGTTTATTTCTTTGAATATGCTATTGGATTCTATTTGCCAGTATTCTTGCACTTAGTCCTAAGAGATAATTGTCTGTACTTTTCTTCTGGTGTCTTCATATGGCTTTGATAGCAAGGTAACGCTGGCCTCATCCGAGTAATTAAAATGTGTGTCCCACGCCCCTCTCTGTATTTTGGAAATATTTGATTAGGATTGCCATCAATTTTTCTTTAAGTATTTATTAAAATTCTCCAGTGATCTCATCTGGTCCAGGGCATGTATGTGTGTTTGTGATTACTGATTCAACTGCATCATTTGTTATGTGTGGAGACTTTCCATTTTTCCTTGAGTCAGTTTAGTAGATTATGTAGCTTTAGTAGATTGTTTCTAAGGTATTTGTCTATTTCATCTAAGTTACCTACTTTGCTGGTTATGCCATTGTTCATGCTACTACGATTTTTATTTCTATTAGTTTGGCTGTAATATACCCAGTTTCATTTCTGATTTGAATCTTTTCTCAAAGATTTGTTGAACCTATTGATCTATTCAAAGCATCAGCTTCTGGTTTTGTAGACTTTGTTTCCTACTCTCCATTTCATTTTCACCCTTTCTCCATGGATTGCAATTTTTCTCCCACCCACCTCCCTAACTGTTGGAGCCTGAAATTGTCCATCTGTTCAACAGCCTCTTCTACTATTGAGGAGCTAGTTCTCCAAGATATGGGACTGTCAAGACTTATCCAGAGCAGTTACTTAAGGGGAAAATACACACAGCAGAATACAGACACTATCTGATACTCCACTGCCCGGGATTGCTGTGTTACTTGACGTAGGCTGCAGTGGACTGCTTATTACCCTTTCCACACAAATTGCTATTTGTGCAGTCAGTTACCGGGTTGATCCCACCAGAGGGCGTGCTGGCCCTTTGAGTTAGCCAGCAGGGACCAGAGGCCAAGATCTCTGCTAGTGTTAATTTCTTTTTGACCACCCCCGACTAACCCTTTCTATGCTACCCAAACAGGATAGTAGTGGTGGTGCTCTCTCTTGTTATCCTTGGCACCAGGCAGTCAACTCTAGGAACATGCTGTCTCCACCTCTGTCGCAGGCCTGGAGAATTGGTGGTGGCAGCCAGTTGGTGAACATAGCTCACATAGATACGATCAGCCTCTTTTCTATCTTTCAGTATTTCCTTGGTCGATTTAAGTATCCATTCTACTGCCCAAGTCCCAAAGTAGGTAGTGCTCTTTCTGAGTAATACATGATATTGTGGAGGGCAGACTCTACAGAACTTCCTAATCTGCCCCGGCGATGTAGTGGTTTTATACTTTGGGCTGCTCACCATAAGGTCAGCAGTTCAAACTACTGTAAGCCACTTGGGAGAAAGCCAAGGCTTTCTGTACCCAAAAAGATTTAGTTTAAGAAACGGGCAGTTCTTTTAAAGTCAGTGGAGGGAGTGAAATTCTGCTACTTGCAGGACAAAGCTTTGCCTGTAAAGTTCTAACTTTTGCAAAAAGCTTTCAAACCCTTCTCCTTTGGCGCTTAGAAACTTATTGCTTCAACGGTGTTGATTATTCCCAGATGATTCAGGGCAGCCATTGCTCTCTTCCGGTCTGTGGAGAGTGAAGTTGGACATTGCTGGAGGATTCCACTTCCTCAGCCTGTTAGGCAGCCATTAGACAGATATGCAGGATCCCACACAACAGCATGCCAGCAAATGTGACATCCCAGCGCACACTCCTGGGCCAAAGAGGGAGGAGTCTGCAGTTCACTGGTGGCTGCTGCACCAGGTCTGTCACAGCCTTTACTGCCATGGGGTGGGAAAAGCAGCCCTCCTCGACAGAAGTTCCTACTGTGGGATGTCACCAATTTTCTTCCATCCGTGTTGACTTATAAGGTGTAACTGACTCATTTCCACAGTTCTGAGTCTTTGGGTTCCATCACATACGTGTGTGTGTGTGTGTGAGAGAGAGAGAGAGAGAGAGAGAGATTCAGCTGCTTAGTCATCTTGGTCCAAACTGAAAATGCTGTTGGATTACAGGATGCCTGCTGACAAAGATTTGCAGATACTTAGCATAGTGTCTGAGTATATAACATAAACTGAATACTTACTATTTATAGTACTTTGCAAAATTGGTTCGTAGTAAAGAATGTAAACATTTTCTAGAGTGTCTGTGTGTTTTGTACATCTGTATGAGGAGCCATAAAAATGAAAAATTTCCATGCACTTTTCCAAGGCTACCCCCCCCTCCCTGATGTACTGTGTACACACCTATCTCTTATTTGTGGAGGTCAATCTTTTGGAAACATTTTAATTGGAAAAATTTCAGAAATGTTGCATTAAAGTTGCACAAGAAAAGCATGTGTACTCTTTGCCCAGATAGACTTATTTTTTAATGCTTTATCCCATTTGCTTTATAAAGTCCCCCTTTACCTCTCTCCTACATGTTATCACCAAAAAGCCCTAACTCACTGCCATCAAATCAATGCCTATTCATAGCGCCCCTAAAAGACACAGAACTGGCCCCGTGAGTTTCCAAGACTAACTTACACGGGAGTAGAAAGCCCTTCCTTTCTCCTGAACACACGAATCACAAAGTTCTTTGTTTTTCCTAATGAACAAAGATCTAAGAGACATGGTAGTGTACCAGGTTAACTATTGGACTGCTAACTCCAAGGTCAGCAGTTCAAACCTACCAGCTGCTCCACAGGACAAAGGCGAAGGTGCAACTTATTCCTGTAAAACTTCAGTCTCAGAAATCCTAACAAATAGTTCTACTCTGTTCTATAAGGCCACTGTTACTCTGTTCTATAAGGCCACTGTGAATCAGAATTAACTAGATGGCAGAGGACTGTTTTGTTTTGAAAGGAGAGCAATTTCTTTGCATAAGCACAGTATGGTTGTAAACTTAAAAAGATTAAGAATGACCTAATACATTTCTCTAATGTCTCATTTGTTTCCCAATGTTGCAAGATTGTCCATTAAACATTTTATTCTGATAGTGTGTTTAATCTAGGGTCCAGGATTGTTTGTAGTCAATGACTTTGTCGAGTCATTTAATCTAGAACAATTTCCACAGCCTTTCGTTCTCTTCAAGAGACAGGCCTTTAAAAAGAAGAAAGCCCCTTTGCCCCAGTTGTTAATTGCATTCATTCTCTGTTGGAATATTGCGTAGGTGGTGGTGTGCCCACCTCAAGGTCTCACACTGGGAAGCAGGCTATACCCATCTGTCTCTTACTGTTGTTGTTAGGTGCCATCCAGTTGGTTCCAACCCATAGTAAGCAACCCTGTGCAAAACACAAAACACTGCCCAGACCCACACCGTTCTCACAATTGTCCCTATGCCGGAGCCCATTGCTGCAGCCACCATGTCAATCCACCTCATTGAGGGCCTTCCTCTTTCTTGCTGCCCCTCCACTGTACCAAAGCATACCTTTCTCCAGGGACTGGTCTCTCCCCACAAAGCATGTAAGAGGAAGTCTTGCCATCGCTGTAAGCCTAAGGAGCATTCTGGCCATCCTTCTTACAAGTACTGCTTTTAGCAGTCCATTCTTCTCCAGTACAATTCAAACCCATTGATTCTTCAGTCTTCCTTATTCAGTGTCCAACTCTCACATGCATGTGAGGCAATGGAAAATACCATGACTTGGGTCAGGTGCACCTTGGTCCTCAAAGTAACGTCCTTTCAATATCCTAAAGAGGTCTTCTGCAGCAGAATACCCATTGCCAGGGATCTTCTGGTCTCCAGACTGTTGCTTCCATGAGCATCGAGTGTGGATCCAAGCAAAATGAAATCCTCGACAACTTCAACCTTTTCTCCATTTATCATGATGTTACCGTGATACAGTTGTGAGGATTTTGTTCTTCTTTACACCGAGTTGTAATCTTTACTAGTAATTCTAATTTGACCACTCAAAGTGGTATCCACTTTGTAATTAATAAGCAGTCTGAGGGGAGATACTTTGTAACCATAAACATGACAAAAAATTTTAAAGTACATGTGGGAAAAGATAAAAGGAAATAACCATAAACCATAATGACAACTCTTGGGTGGGCTAATGTGGTAGGACTGTTGTTGATGGATGCCACAGTGTTGGTTCTGACCCATAGCAACTGTATGCACAACAGAACTACTACCCTGTCTTACGACAGCCTCACAAATTGCTGCAGCCACTGTCAAGCCATATCATCGACGGCCTCCCTCTTTTTTGCTACCCCCTACTTTTCTAAGCATGATGTTCGTCTCCTGGGACTAGTCTCTCCTGACTTATCCAAAGTATGTAAGACAAGATGTTGGCATCGTTGCCTCTAAGGCACACTCTAGTCTTACTTCTTCCAAGATAGATCTTGTCATTTTGGTAGTCCATGGTACTTTGAATTTTTCTTCTCCAGCACCACAGTTCAAACATATCAATTCCTTCTTGGTCTTCCTGTTTCAGTGTCCAACTCTCACATGCATATGAGGCAATTGAAAATACCATGACTTTGGTCACGTGCACTTTAATCCTCAAAGTAATCTCCCTGTTTTCCAACACTCTAAAGAGATCTTGTACAGCATATTTGCCCATTGCCACGCACTGTTTAATCTCTTGACTACTGCTTCCATGAACATTGTGGATCCAAGCAAAAAGAAATCCATGACAACTTCAATCTTTTCTCCAGTTATCATGACGTTACCCAATGATCCAGTTGTGAGGATGGTTTTCTTTACATTGAGTTGTAATCTGTACCGCAATCCTTGATCTTTATCAGCAAGCGCTTCAAGTCCTCCTCTTACTCAGCAAGCAAGATTGTGTCATTTGAGTATCACTTGTTACTAAGCCTTCCTCCAATCCTGATGCCACATCCTTCATATGATCCAGCTTCTCTGCTTACTCAGTGGTAGATTTAGGGATATATTTTCCCCCTAAAGTCTCATATTTTTTACTACTGCTCTTCTAATACTGATTTTACAATGTAATATTCCTATCCCAAGGGAGAAATGAGGCCCCAAATTCAAAGATAACTTGCAGAGACACAATTATTTAAGTCGTAAAACAAGATAAAGACAAGTCGAGATAAGGGTGACCATCAGCATGAGGCCATACTGGTATTCAAAGATTCACAGAAATGCAGTCACTTTAAAATTGAGCATGGAGAACAAGGAGCGGTCACGAAAGCATGATTCGTGGTAGATCAAGTCATCAGAGTTTCAAGGGGGACTACAGAAGCAGTAAAGAGAGCATAACTGGAAAATGTATGCGATTGCATATTAGAATATTTTCTTTTTTTGCATATTAGAATATTTTCACATAACTTTTGATTGGGTGATTAAATTGTATGTGAAGTACATGCCAATATACCTATTAAAAAATTAGTTTTTTACTCGATTAGTTCAGAGCCCTCTGACCAAGGCAGTTGGGTTAGTATCCCAATTTCCTCAAGGGCACACTCATGAGAGTGAGCAGCCTGACTCTTTGGGATGGCGAGGAGAATTGTAGGAATTTACTTTTAAATACACTCTTCCTGGGGGTAGAGCTTTTCACATTGCTCAGAATGGGTCAGAAAGAACTCCATGGAGGCTGAGTCCATGTGGATACTAGATTCAAAAACCGGTTCAGAGCTCCCACTGTAAAACAGAGCCTTCTGTAAATCTAGTGCTCAGAATTTAAGCACTAATATAGTACCATAAAGGTTACTTTTAATTTCAAACCGTATCTGAAAGCCATTCATAAAACATCTGAATGTTCCTAAAATTTTATTATTGCTTTCCTCGTCACTCTTGTTTTGACTCAAGTCCCTTCTCAGAGCATCATGCCAAGACTAAAACATGGGCGCCTCAACAAAGCCTAACATACCTGCATTTGAATTTTTTAAAAGCTGCAAATCTAATGTGTGTTTCTCTCTTTTTTTTATAGGCCCTAACAACAGTAACCAAGATATGTCAACATGGTTCAGTCTATTTGCAGACTTGGATCCACTTTCAAACCCAGATGCTATTGGACACTCAGATGATGAACTTCTTAATGCTTGACTAAAGTTATGTCACTTCAATGGCCTTGAGACCAATTTTGCAACATATTGCCTTGTGGAAAAGTTTATATTGTGCTCACACACAAAGCATGGTTTACAAAATACTTGTCAGCCAACATTAGGCAGATAGTAAAGGCCCATCTGAATATTTTAAGTATATACTTAATCTTGGATTTGCAACTCTTGATAATACATGGAAAACATAACAAACAATCTATTCCAAAATAGTTAAGAAACCAAAATTTACTTTTAAAACACCAGCTAGGAATAATCCTGTCAATAAGAAGTTGGTTTTATTTCTCTGGAAAGCCTTTTATCTTTAAGTTACCTTGCTGGTTGTGAGAAATTTGTATGCGGAGATGAGACCAGCATGTCGGCTAGGTTGTAGTTTGAGTTGGATTTTAAGATGGTGGCAAGAGGAATGATCTGTTGTGGAGAACAGAACTAGAACCAGAACTTAATCTTAGAAAAAGTAAAAGTAGATTTGAGAACTCTATTTGCTTTAATGAAATCAGAGAGAAACTTAAGTGCTGGAGTTTCTCCATTTGCAGTCTAAAATTGAGTGCTTACCTAGCTTTTTTCATTAATACAAAATCACAATCATTTAATTTTCACAATCCATTAAATTTCTCGTGGGGAAATCTGTTAATTTACTAAGCCCATCCTCTGGAGAAATAGAAAAAAAATCTTTCCATTTCATAAACCACAAAAAAATGTCCAGAGTTTAAGATAGGAATCTTCAGGATATGCATTGCTGTAATAGTATGCATTATTCATAGTCTATCAGAAAAGGAAATGGGGCGGGAACAAAAATTAGTAGCAACAGTATTCCTGGAACGCCTCAAGAAATTTCTACCTGAATGGGGAGGTGGGAGTATAGGTGGGGCAGTTTAAAACATCTTCTTAATATGTGTGTACTTATCCCGTTTTCCTCCCGTGATTTAACTTGGAATACTTTCTGGCAGAAATAGACAGCTTTTCATGATCAATAGGATTGTGCTATTTTTGCTCTTCTCCCTGTCGTGCACAGGTGCTATGCTCTGCAGTTCCATGTGGTTACTAAGCAAAGGCTTGTTAGAGGGTTTGTGTAAGCTGATGAAATATAGCTACTGTTCACACACATCTATCACTAAATTTCCTGTTTTATTTTCTTGCCTTTAGTTTGAGGCAGTTTTCTATTCCAGGTGTCTTAGGTTTAGTATACGACAAACCCAAGTTACAGTACTTCTTATGTGTTCTAAACAGGCATACTTAAAAGATAGTTTCTAATGTCTGAATCACTGTACACAGAAAAACATCTTCAAGGTCTACTTCCCATCCACAGCAGTTTGGACTAACTAGCATCTGCCCACAAGTTCTCCAGAAACCCACTACTAGCACCAAGTACTGGATAAGCTGAAAGGAAACATGGACTCTGGCACAAGTCATAAGAGTATGTCTTCCACATCTCTTCATAAGCTTATTTTAGCTTCTTTATTCAGTATTAATAAGCTGTTATTTACCACTTCTGAAGGACTTTAAAAAAAAATTTTTATTCACAAAGGATTATGAACGTGAATTGCGATCTGAGTTCTTTACCCACAATGGTTCTGGTGCTCTTAACCTTGACTGAGGACTTCAAAAGCATGCCAACTTTGTGCTATTTTTTCTTTCCATCCATAGCCTTACAAATAAATTAGGTCAAAGATAACCCTCATAAACATGCAAAGCAATCCCTGATATATAAACAAAAAATACCTCGATGAATGCATCGGAGAAGCAGTAGTCTCCAAGGCAGTGTGATTTCCGATTATGAACATGAAATGACAATACCCTTAATGTTCTTATGAGCAAAGGTTCTCAAAAAACATATATATATATATATAAACAGGATTTTTATAGAAGTCTTCATTTCTGTTACACTTCTTCTTGCTTAAGCAGATCATGTAGTTGCCCATTTAACTCCGAAAATGTTTTAATTGCCTAAGCAAATCATGTTACAACTTTAACAGGACTAACAACTCATTTTTTTAAAAATACACTGTAAACTTTATTAAGTAACTTCATATTTCCTCAAGATGTTCTCTGAAAATCACTAATTTAAGTAAAAAAATGTTGATTCTGTTAAGTTAAACCTAGATTTCTATTATTGAAAATCCAACCGCATATTCAGGAAAGGGTGATGAGGACAGGAAGCGCATAACCAAAAGGTAGACTGGTTATTTTGTCTTAATGTAGACTATCTATTCAGTACAGTAATAAGTACATTAAGTAACGTGAACCAAGGGTAGATGAGAACATCTCTTAAAAAAAAAAAGTTGACACATTTTATACTAAATGGGTTGTGTGTATGTTATACCATGTAAGAATCAGAATGTATTAACATTAGAAAAATATCACAGAGCTCAAATTTACTTGTTTCTACCTTATAAAAAAGGCAGGAATACCAGAGCATATATTAAGATCTGATCAATGTAATGTTGTTTTTGAGACCCTCATGAATTGTAAAACATAACTCTGATTAGGATTGGAAACAAACTCTATTTCAACAAGATAGGTTTCAGTATTTGAACATTGCAAAAGTGTTTATTTCAACTATAAATATTTCATATAACTTATTTTTAGAAGTCTGACAGCATCACAACAAAGGAAGTTTGAACATGCACTGTTTTATGAACTTCTTGTGATAAAGGATGTAAGATTGCATATAAACAGTGTATTTCCTAAAGTGGTGGATACAAATCCATTATTGTTTCTCCTCATCAGAAACCTAGGTTTTACCTAAGGACCGCAGTAGAAAGCTCGGTTGGATTGTTAAAGATTACTCAGAAAGGAAATAAAACTGGGGTACTATTTTTGTTAGATTCTTTTCTAACTTAGCCCATGTAGATACGGGAAGTAACAGAATGTACGTCCTCTGTGTAAGTACTCTCAGTAGCAAAATACAGTATTGTCATATCAATGTCAAAATTTTGAGCCAACAGAAGCAATAACCGATATAGTTTTAAATATGACAACAAAGAAAACCCGAATCACAGATGGAGAAAATGATTTGTCAAAATGAGTCACATCCATATGTCCAACACGAAACATTCTTGTCCATCTTGTAAGTACCATTTAAAAGAAGAGTGGACAGTAAAAAGAAAAACCGTCCCTGTCACTTCTGTATATGGTTCGTAACTCAGTGGTGCAAATACAGCATCAGCAGCCAAAGAGGACCTACAAAACAGGCGCCCATGGTTTGCTTTTATCGCTCAGATTAATAGGTAAGATTTTTTAAATTCCCATCTTTACTTTTAAAAGGGCATTATTTCCTTTTTCTCATTTCATAGTAATAGACTCATTTAAAAGTGGAGAAAACACCCCAAACTAGACAAAGCACAGCCTTACCATGCAGGGATAACCATACATAACTCAGGAGTATTTTCTGTTACAAGTTCTAGGACCTTTGGGCACACATATGAATTAAAATGATTTAGGTAATTTCATTTTATTACCTTCTCTCTGAAATGGGACTACTAAAGTACTGAGATTAAAATATGACCTTTATAGCTTTTTTCTCAAAAACCAAGTTTTTAACTACCACAAATGTTATTAAAGCCAGCTTCTGAGCACACAATATTTCCAAAGCTAGACTCTTCCCAGAAGTAGGTTGCTACCTCTTTTCTCCTGTTGAGCAGATAGCGGGTTAAATAGCCAGCCTTTGTGGTTAGCAATCACCAGAGCTTCATGTCATCATTTGCAGGGTACGATTATCACTCGCAAGTAAAGCATTCTCTTAATCATATGAAACTCGAAAATAAAATTCTCTTAATCAATCATATGAAACCAATCTGTCAACATTTACTCAAAAGTAAAGATGAGAATGTATTGGAAAGGCAGGGAAGCTAGATCCATGGAAACTGAGCAAATGGAATGGAAATTAGGATACCAACATATTGTAAAAACTGTAACCAATGTCACTGAAAAATCTGTATAAAAATTGTTAAATGAGAACCTAATTCATTGTATATATGTTCATCTAAAATACAATAAAACATTTAAAATATGATTGACCAGAACAAATCAATACTAGTACATACAATGAAATCATTATAGAATATGGAGATAATTCTGCTAGAGGAAGTTCCATACTTCACTAAAGAGAAAGGTTAATTTTTTTATGTCTGTAATTTGAAGATATTTATCCAAAGGGTAGTAAAAACAATGTCTTAAAATCTCCAGTCTCACCTGTCCTTGAAGACAATGGATCAATGCAGACACACAGGCTTTAATATAGAGCAATGTTCTTCAAATCTTTTTTGACCGCAACCCACAGTAAGAAATACGTTTTACATGACACTGTAATCTATATGTGTGAATCTACAGAAGAACTTTCAAAAAGACTGTAGAAACTTAAAAGATAGTGGAATTTTTCCACTATAGCTACCTTGAGTAAGAAAAGTTTTTACACCAAAAAAATATTTTCATGTATGAGTGTGACCTAATGTTTTCTGTTGTTTCATTTTATTAAACACAGCTGATTGGAACTATTGAACTCACTTCAAAATGCACACCTGAAACACTTAAGTCAAAGAGATGAGAGGGCGATCTGTGTCATCATACCACCGCCTTCCAATGGAGGCTAAAGCACACCAAACCGTAGCGAGGGAAAAAGCAAAACAAATCACTGGCATTTAACATGCGAAGGGGCTTGGAAAAGTTTGTGGGGAAATTTTAATTCCATTTTTATCCACAAACGTTTTGAAGTTTCCCTATATATAGGCAGATACTGTAATATTTCAGATCCAACCACTAAAAAGCAAGCAAAGAGAAAGGATCATGATAGACCTAAAAGTGTTGTATGTGTGTGTGTGTAAATTTAGTATGATTGAACCAAAGTCAAAAAAAGGAAGGAAAAATTAAAAATGGGGATAAGTCCCACCCAACCTGATATAAAAATTAATGATTACAGATCTCACATCTTTAATGGTGGAGGGAAAAGGCTGAGGGGGGAAAAATAGGACAGTATGTGTCATTTTGAATGGTGCTTTACATTTGATTCTGTTTAACAATTATATGAAATTTGTAAAAATGAATTTAAATTGTAATGTAAACATATGTTATCCTTAAATGCGGGTTAATCTTTCTCCCCCCAAAAAAATAATTTGACAAAGTAATTTAGTGACCCTTTCTGACAGCTGTGTGACCTTTTACTCATTTAAAATATGTCCCTGTTTTCTAAATGGAGTGCAGTCTTCATTAGGGAGTATCTGAACAGCTTTATGTGTAGTAGAGACTAAAATCCCTCAACCTTAACAACTGTCTTGCTTATATCATATAAACCTTTGTCACAAAGGAAGAATATGGCTGCATTAGCAAGAAGGAATTTCCAATACAGAAACACAAAAACCTCTTTATACATAGACTTTCGAATGAACTTTAGAAACTATCCCAAGTTAATGATCTCTTAACAACCAACTATAAGGTGCTAATAAATTAGTGTGCTTATATTTTAGTGCTTGCTTAGAACTTACAAGAAAGATCAAGTACTTTCATGGCCAGAGAAACTGAGGGGGCATATAAGTTAACTGATTATATTCATATATCCATCTCCTTAACACAACCCAGTTGTATATCAATTTGTGAAAGAGGTGATACTATTTATAAGTTATTTCAGGCTAGCAATTGAATTTGAATTTTGAAGCAATTTAATAAAAGTACACAAAAAAACTCAAGAACAGACATTTTATTTTTAAGATAAAAGTTCTATTTTCTTGTGAGGCAGCAACAAGTGTCCAGGTACAGGAATACATAAGTACATAGCAACAATATTTATCACCACTGGAAATGCTGTTTGGGTGGGTGGGATTTTGTTAGAAAAACAAATTTTTAAAAAATTGCTTTAAAAAAAGACAGCTTCAACAAAGATGAAAGGTGTAGTTTTTTAAAAAACAAAAACAAATTATATCCAATATGATTGTATTGACAAATTATTGTTCAGGACTGGTCTGTTCATTAATTTAGGCAGAATAAAACTTAAACTTTAAAGTGCGGTGTTAAATATTCTTAGCTTTATTTTGCAAGTCCAGCACTTTCATTGGTCTGGTTTTGAGACATCAAAATTCCAAGCACAAAGGAATGAATCTCAAGAATAGGAAAGTAAATACAGTAGTGGCAAATTTATTTGCTTAAACAAAATAAATAAAATCTTGACAACCTAGCCTTAATCTTGGCTATGCAGAAGGTTATAAATTCTGTCATTCTCATATACCTTGTTCCAGTAAAAGCCAGCCATTAAAAACAAACTTTTTTTTAAAGTCCTTTCAAGTGCTAGTTATTCCACAGTTAGCAATAGCACCTTCTAAAAGGCTGACTTGAGTTGCGGTCATAAGTATAAAATATAAACAAAATTAATCGAGGTCCAAAATAATTTTGGTCATTCATTCTCACCATATTAACTAGAGGAGTAAAATGGGCATTTAAAAAAAACATAATTGTTCACAAAAGCCATACAAGTAAGAAATAGTCATGATCAGAAACAGTGTTTATATAAGTTTTATCATTACAAGAAGAAATTGTCTTAAGGTAGAAAAAACGAAGATTGACAAAGTGAATAATAACCAGAGAATAGCTTCTTTTGCTGAAAGATTCATGCCACCCATCTCTTTTACTGCAATGGAACTAAATTTCTGAAAAATTTAAATTATATTCCTATTGAAGCTATTCTATTTTTCCTTCTATACAGTCTTCTACAAAGTAACACAATAATTATGGGATGTAACTGTAGAACACAGTATTATGAATTCTGAGAACGGATAGCTGTGAACTAAGGGTTAAACAAAAAAACTGAATGGAACTACAGTCAAATATTTTTCAGACTGCAATAAAGCTTATATGTTTAAAAATTAGCCCTTTGGCACTGGCAGTTAGGGTGGTTCGTACCTTGTACCTTTCTTTTTCAAATGTCAGGCTCTAATGCTCCCAAAGCGGAGGGATCCATTTGGTGGTCATATAATTCATTTACTTGCAAATTTACATTCTCTTTAGAACCCAAAATTCTAAGTACAAGTTCTATTTTTAAGACTATTCACAATGAATCTTAAACTTGTTCTCCCATTCTAACTTTAAGTTACTTTAGATGAAGGATATACAGAACTCCACAGAAGGGTATGAATTAGACAAACGTGCTCCACTAGTGAATGGCACAAGTCTTTACAAAGTGGCATTCTGGTTGTAAAACACCATTGTGACCTACAGGGATGGAGATAGAGGCAAAGTGTACGGCAAGAAAAAGAGCACGAGTTTAAGAGAATTCAGGTCATCCTAAAACTGATGATTTGGCTTTTTAAAAAAAACTTTGTTTTTAACTTCCTCCTGCATTATTCATACCAACTCCCCAGGCTTCAGTGTTACCTTTTAGAGCAGATGCTCCATGGGAGACAGCACAATAACAGAGCAGGTAAATAAACGAAGCTCTCAAAACACCTGCCAAACAAAAAAGTCAGACTCTGATAACTGGCTTTACTGTTTTTTAGAGCCCATAATGTAAAGTCCTAAGTAAATTAGTTCTGGATGGAAAAGAGCAAAATTTGCCAGTCCTTACAAACTAAAAGCCGACAGATTTATTCAAACATTTGCATTTATCTGACTTACCTAAAGCTATCACTATTTTAAACTTAAAGGGAACATTTTTCATAGATGTTTCAAAGGTGTGTGACTATATAAGGCAGTCCTTTGAGAAGGCTTATTGCTCCCAGTAGGTTTTCCTCAATGAGCTTTGCTGGGACAAACTGATGTGTTGACTATCAAAGTATTCCTTTTTTAAAGAAATATTTTATCCTGCCTAGGGTATGTATAGTAAAATTAAATTATTGCATCATAAGGTAGTATCTGACTATCTCAGAAGGATGCTTTTTATCAACATTGTTGGCTGAAACTCATTTTTTTAAAAGCTGCTCCCTAATGTCACATACCCAGAAACGAAATACCATGTTTATCATGGGATATTGGCAGCGATGCATTAGGATGAACCCAAACCCAAAATTGTATGAATTTTTCAGAGGTGCCTTTTGTTTATGCTTCAAAGCTTTTCTTGTCTGTTTCCCCACTATGTGGAATGCTGTGGGGGAGGGGGGAGCTATCAAAATCTGGGGGCAACGAGTTTCAGTGCCAGCTAACATAAAGAAAATGTCAGTCACGAGATTCTGTGGCTACAGATTGCTATTCAATGGATTACACTCCTGGCAAACTACTAAGCCTGACCGGATCCACAAGACACCACCACCAAAAAAGCAAAGGAGGGAATCCATGCACAGCCATTTTAGCATCTCTTGGGGCTATGATACAGTGAGGTCTAAAGGTAGAATGATATTTTGTGGTAGAAGAGGGAGATCATGTGATACACATTTCGCAGAATACGCAAGGGCTCCTTACTCCTAGCTAGTGATCAACACTGGGTTGTTTCCTTTTGGCTCACTGTTCCAATGACAGGTGAGAACATATTACACACACTTATCTCTGAACTGCAATTTCTTCTGACCACACGGTGAAATGTGTACAGGAGTAGTGAAGAAAACATCTCTTACAAACATTTTACCCAAAGCACAAACTTCTGACATCAAAAACATAAATCACATAATGTACTAATATTGCTTTTTATCTCTTTTATATTATTTGTTCAACGTATTTACCTATTAATTCTTATTTGGGAGAAGAACATAAGTCATGAGTTTAAGATTGTTGGGAAAATGTCAACGATTAATCCCTTTGGTCCCAAAGCTGCAAACAGCTCAGAAAAGCACACATCTAGAAAGGGAAACAAGAAACAGAGGCCACCAAAGAATCTTTTGAACATCCTGTTTGCTATGTTTCAGAAATGTAACATTGGTATTATAAAATAGTCATTTTCATATAAAAGATGGTTCTTGCAGCATCGTTCATGTCTCCCTTCAGGAATCATGTTGCAGGGATCAGTTGTTTTTTTTAAAAGATGTCTACTTTGAGAACAAAAGCAATGGGCTATCAGCCCTCCAAAAGTAAAGAATGAGACCTTTCTTGTTCCAATCCGTGCTTTAAGAGAAAACAGCTCAAGAAGTGAAGGTTGGCCCTTATGAGCAGGGCAGAGCCATCAGAGGGCTGCTTTCTTCTCGAAGCCTCACTGGCACAGTCACTGTGGAAAGCTGGAGCACATCACAGCCAAGTGGGAGCACATGATGCCGTCATAATCAAGTGATCTAAGGAGGTTCTCAGTTTCCCAGAACAATGGCCACACAGCACTGGGACTTACCCTTCAGCTTCCTCAATTGGTTCTGGTGGTGGGTGTAGAGAGGCTGAAGGCAGGACTGTACTCGTTCCTCGAGAGACCCGGTCTTGCTCTGTGTTTGTAGACACGGAGGCCACAGAAATAGGCTGCAGCAGAGTGGTCGTCATGCCAGTGGTGACTGTCAGGCTGTGGCCAGAGCCCTTGAGGGTAAGATCTGGTGTGGGAAGGAGTGGCTTGAGGATGCTGACGAGGCAGAAAGCAGAGCCACTTTTAGGAATAAAATTCACCTTGTTCTTGTCAGGACAGTAAAAGGCTGGGATTTCATGAAGTTGCTTTGGCCTAGACACAGAATAGACAACCCAATACTTTTAAGTTACTGACCACTGGAAGTACCTACTTTTATTAAAAAAAAAATTTTTAAAGACAAACTAAAACAAAAATAGTTAACTAATAAATACACCAATTGAATGCAAAACGAGCTATTTGTAAAAAGTTTCACTGCCAAGGACCAAAGTGGCATTAGACATAAGATTAAAAATGTTGGCACGTTGGAGGAAAGCATTCATCGATGTTCCTTCTAGTTTATTGGAAGTCCCTTATGCCCTAGTAGGAGCCCTGGTGGGGTAGTAGTTATGCATTAGGCTGTGATCTGAAAGGTCAGCAGTTCAAAACCACCCAAGCACTCTTTAGTAAGATAATATAGGCTATCTTCTACTAAGTCCCTCTACTACATGGCTCAACTGGTGAGCACGGATTTTCCATCTAAATCCTCTTAGAAATGTCTTTGAATTAAAACAATTCTTTGAATCAACTATGATGGTTTCTAAGTAACACAATGTAAATTTGAAAATAAAATAAAACTCATAGTAGTCTTTGCTTTGGAAGTTCTTATTGAAGCAAAATTCTTTTCTGTTCCAAGAGGCTCCTGAAAACAAACCCAAATAATTTAAAGAATAATGATGTTGATGGTATTCCATGGAAAAAAAATTTTTTTTAAACTTTGTTATGGTAGCATGGAATAATTGCATGGAATAGCACGGGTAATTAAAGAAATAAAGAACACAATCAAAAGATTCCTTCAAACAAATGAGAATGAAAAGACAACATATCAAAACTTTTAGGACACAGGAAAAGCAGTATTCAGAGGGTGGTTTACAGCAATATCGGCACACACCAATAAGGCAGAAAGAATTAAACACCTAACACATAGACCACAATTGGGAAAAATGCAGCAAAACAAATCATCAAGATACTAGAGGTGAAATAACAAAGATCAAGGAAGAAGTAATTTTAAAAAAACTATAGAAAAAAATCAGTAAGACAAGAAAGTTGGGTCTTTGAAAAGATTAAGAAAGTTGATAAGCCACTGGCAAACCTAATAAAGGAAAAGAATGAGAAAAAACAAATTCTATGAATAAGAAATGAAACAGATACTACAACAGAACCAAATGAGATTAAAAAATATAATCACACATCATGAAAGATTATATTCTAACATATTCAAAAATCTAGAAGAAATGGCATTATTTACCCCAAAGTACCACAGAATGATGAAACAAATCTCAACAAGCCTGTATGTAACATGAGAAGAAATAAATGGGAGTCACAAAGAAAGCCTAATCAAAAAGTTTGGGTCCAGTTCTCAAAGGGAATTCTATCAAACATTTAGAGAAGATTTAATACCAATTTTATATGAACTATTCCACAATACACCAAAAGACAATATACTACACCAAATTAATTTTATGAAGCAACTATAACTCTGGTACTTAACAAGGCAAAGACATCACTAGAATCAATAATTATAGACCAATATCTATAATGAATATAAATGTCAAGATCTTCAATAAAATACTAGCCAACAAAATTCAACTGAACATCAGGAAAAAAACCAAAAGGGAAACATCATGATCACATGGGATTCAGACCATATATGCAGGGATGGTTTAATATTAGAAAAACAATGTAATTCATCACAAATAAAATAAAGGGGAACCATATCAATCGATGCACAAAAGGCATTTGACAAAATTCAACATCCATTTCTGATAAAAATCATTCAACAAAAATAGGTACAGAAGGGAAATTTCTCAACATAATAAAAGTCACATGTGAAACCAATAGCCTGAATGTCACTGAATGAAGATAAATTGAAATAATTTACCCTTCAATAAAACTAATCAAGGTTGCCCTTATCACTACTTTTATTTAATGTAGTTCTGGAAGTTTTTACCACAGCCATAAGACATCAAAAAGAAATGAAAGCTACCCACATAGGCAAAAGAAAAAAATCTCTTCATTTGCAGATGACATATATAGAAGACGCCAAAGATTCAATTAAAAGATTGCTTGAACTAATTTAAAAAATTTGGTCTTAGAGCTGGCTATTAGATCATCATACAGAAATCAGTTGGATTATTGTATATTAAGGATGATGATACCGAAAAAAAAAAAAAGACATTAACAATACCATTTACAGTAACTATAACAAAAGATAAAATATTTAGGAATAAGTCTTACCAGAGAAACAAAAGACATACAAAGAAAACTACAAAATACTCCTTCAAGAAACGGAAAGAAACCTCTACAAATGAACACGTTACCATGGTCCTAGACAGGCAGAGTAAATATTGTGAAAATGTCAGTATTACCAAAATTTCTTTATAAATTCAATGCAATTCTGATGCAAACCCCAGCACAATTCTTCAAAGAAATGAAAAAATTACCAACTTTATCTGGAAAGGGAAGAAATCTAGGATGAATAAAACACTACTAAAAAATAAAAACAAAGTAGTAGGCCTTTCATTCCCAGACCTAAAACTTACTATATAGTCATGGTAATCAACAGCCTAGTACTGGTACAATGTTAGATAGGATGAAAACCCAGAAATACAACCAAGTATCTATAGGCATCTAATTTTTTATAAAGAAATACAGTGAACCCTCGTTTATCGCGGTTAATCGGTTCTAGACCCTACCGTGATAAATGAAATTCCGCGAAGTAGGATTTCTTATTTGTAAATCAAATATTTTCGTAGTTAGAGCATAGAGGACATGAAAAAACACCCTTTAGTCACCATTACACTCGTATTACCCAATTTATTAAACGAAAAAGGGAAAATACAGTAAAACATTTTGGACGTTACAATTATCATTTATTATTTATTATATTATTTATGGCATCAAGCGTGTACAGTATGAGCCAATCAGTGGCAGTAATGACAGAGCATGCGCTGTTACGCAAAAACCGCGATAGAGTGAAGCCATGGAAGTCGAAGCGCAAAGTGGCGAGGGTTCACTGTAATACACATTAAATGAGCAAGAGACAGCCTTTTCAAGAAATGGTGCTAGAAAAACTGGATCTTCACCTGCAGAAGAATGAAATAAGACCCATACCTCACACCATATACAAAAACACACTCAAGATGGATCAGAGCTAAACATAAATCACACAATTGAGAGCATCAATGAAAAAAGAGGGACAAACTTAAGGACCCTAAAAACAAGGCATAAACAAACACACTGCCAAACATAATGAAAAATATCCACACTATGGAAGACAAGACAAAGAACTCAGACCTACTAAAAATATGACAACTATGCACAACAAAAGTCTTCATCAAGAGAGTCAACAGACAAGCCACCGATTGGGGATATTCAGTAATAATACATCAGCTAAAGGACCAATCTCAAAAATCTATAGAAAATATCCTAACAATAAACATCTTGACAATAAAAATAAAAATACATCTTAACTAGATTTTAACATGAAAAATACAAATAATAATTGAAAAAGAGGTCACAAGGGCATGAATGGGCAATTTACCAAAGACAACCAACAACCATCTTTAGAAATGTTTGCAACAGTAGCAGTAAGAAAAATTAAAACGAGCTATCACCTCACACCAACACTTTTGGCAAAATCCAATAAAACATAAATTAACAAATGTTGGAGAAAATGTGGAGATAGGAATGCTTTTACATTACTGGTGGGATTGTAGAATTGTACAACCATTATGAAAATCAGTATGGCACTTCATTAAACAAAGAAAATCCAAGTGCCTTATGGTCCAACAACATCTCTACTGGGTATGTACTTCAAAGAAATTATGAATATAACACAAACTGGCATATGAATACCTATGTTTATTGAAGCAGTTTCCACAAAAACATGGAAACACAAAACCTCAACTATAGAGGGATGGATAAACAAGCTCTGGTACATTCATATTACAGAATTTAATGCATCAATAAAAAACAACGATAAGTCTTTTAAAAACAAGACCTGGACGAAACTAGAAAATATTATGCTTAGCAAACTCAGTCAATCTTACAAAGATAAATATTTAATATCACTACTAATATCACATTTAATATCACTACTGTGGTTTATATACCAATAAACAGAGCTATGAGGAGGCCAAGGCTGTGGCTGGAAACAGAAAGAAGGAAGAGGTGAGGGCATCCCCCCAAAAAAAGAAAATGGAAGGTTTAACGAGAAAAAATTTTTTTTTTAAATTTTTAATAAAATGAAAATTGCTACACAGGAGACCCTCCCCGCAAACAAACAAAACCCTCTCCAGATTCCTTACCCCTCAGATATAAATATTGGTATGAATGCCTGAAAATGGAGATAAAAGTAAAACTGAAGTAGACCTGGAGTCCTTAGTGACAAAAAAGTTCATTTTAAACATTAAAATAAATACATAAACTAGCATGGAAATGTCACACAAATCCAAAGAAACTAAGGTGGGATAAATCTCAAGACTGGAAGAAAAGGTCCTATAATCATAGGATAAAACTATAGCTCTTATATGGGAGAGGGGTTGGCGAGGAAAGGAAGTGGGTGTTGACAAACCCAGGGACAAGGAAGAGTGATCTAAATTGATGGTGATAGGGGCATAGGGTGCCTGACAGGGTTTGATCAAGGGCAATGTAACCTACAGGAATTACTGAAACCCGAATGAAGGTCGAACATGATAGCAGGACAAGACTTAAGAAAAAGGAAATAGAGGAAAGAACTAAGAGGCAAAGGGCATTTATAAAGGTCTAAATACAGACATGTACATATGTAAACATATTTACATATAACGATAGGGAAATAGATCTTTGTACATATACTATATGTTAAGTATTAAGGTAGCAGACAGACATTGAGTCTCTACTCAAGTACTCCCTCAACACAAGAACATTTTGTTCTAATAACCTGATGCTCTCCTTCCTGACCCGATCACTGAAGATAAAAATGGGTGCATAGCAGATGTGGTGAAGAAAGCTGATGGTGCCCGGCTATCAAAAACTAGAGCATCTAGATCTTAAAGGTTTGAAGACAAACAGCG